GTATATTTTTTGTTGTTTTTGAGACCAGGTCTTGCTGTGTAGTCTAGGCTCACCTGAACTCATAGCAGCCTCCCTACCTCAGCCTGGGTGCCAGGATTATAGGCATGTGCTACCATGCCCAGCAAGCAATGGGTTTATAGTTGTGCTGGACATTTTGTGACAAAATAATGCTTTGTCGGTGCAGATAATCATTTGGCTGTGGCCGGTATATGCTGGAGCTGGTCCGCATCTTCCCATTCTGCATTCAGTGGTGTCATGGCACTAGCTTGAAACTGGTCATAGTGGGAGTATTTAAACTATGGGAATTGGCAAAAGCTGCAAATCAGAGGTTCCTCTGCCACTGTGAAGAGTCTGTAAACATTTTCTAGTGTACTGCTAACAGTAGCTATTATTCTCTTAAAACATAATTCAATTCTTCATTGTTCATAAGCAGCTTACTTGAAGACCTAAGTGGCTGGTGTTTCCTGTGTAAATCTATAAATGTTTTTTTACACATTTCTCATTTGTTTATTGTGTTGGAAATATTACACTTTCATTGTGAAGGGATAACTGTGAGTTCTTCCTTTCTTATCAGAGTGATATTCTATTCAAAATAAACTGCTTAAAATGTGGCTTTTTTTACCTAAGAAAAAAGAAGCTATTCTACAACTCATTCTAAGCTTATGAAGCAAAATATTTCAAAAGAAACAGATTTTAATTTTCTGCCCAAAATGTCTGATTTAATGATAGATTAGTTAAAATTTTGTAAAGAATGAAATAAACATTTTATTAGATGAACTCATTTATTTGACACATTAAATTATGCAAAGAAAAATATTTGCAAATGCATAGAAAGAATCACATTGTCATACTACTTAAACACTCAGCAGTGGTAAAAATAATGAACTGTAGAATGGACCCCAGGATTTAATGCAAAAACACTGTACAGGAAAGTTTCAGGCTTCTAACTTCACTGAATCCAAAACTAAACGTGCTTCTTTATATTCCTCTGCTTCTTCCAAGTCTTTTTCACTCTCCTGAAATGAAATACAATGAAAATTAGGTTTATCCTTTTGAGATGTCAGGACTTTGCTATTTACTGAAATATTAGAAACCATTAATGGAAGTAACTCAGGAAACAGAAAAAGGAGGCCAAGCCTCTTCAAAATGTACCACAGTTCTGTTACTTCATTAGAGGGAAAGAGGAGAAATAACAGGTTTTGTGACCTACTGTATATTTCCATAAAATATATTCTCATAATGAATTAATGCTGTTGAAAAATAGTAATTAAAAAGCCTCAAAAATTGGAAGAAATTTTTATTATCATTTTGTCAATGTATCACCATAAAAAAGATAATTAATAAAAGGAAGATCTACTACTGTGTTGCAAATATGACAGCACTCAAGTGAAAATAATGCTCCAGCTACCCACGGTTTCAAAGGTGACTGCATTAGAGTTGAATTAGAAGAGTGAATTATCTGTTTGTTAATGAGTATTACATATCTGACATGAAAGAAAACAAAATACTAACATCTTTCATTTTCTCAAATCTAAACACTGAGTTTTTCCATGATACTGATATATAGGAAACTTTAATATTTTGTGATTGTAACAGACAATATGTAAATTATTACACATAGAAAAACTTTATTTTTAAATTAAACTATGGTCTTAATTTAAATTAATTTCACAGTTTCAAATAAAATTGTAATTCATGTAAAGTCAATAAAAGATGGAGATACACAGTTATAAAGAGGGGATAAAGAATGTACTAAATTTAAGCTCTCTGTGGGCAGTTATTGTTGAATCTATCCTCATACACATGAATATACCATACAAAGACATTTTTTTTAAAAATTCACATTATTTTCTCAGGTACTAGACTCAGCAAAAGAAAGAAAAAGTAAATTCTTAGGGAATACAAACGGTCCTTTTTATGTAAGTTTTTTTTTGTTTATTTTTTTGGTGGTATTGGGGATCGAACCCAGGGCTTATGCATGCAAGGCAAGAACTCCACCACTGAGCCACATCCCCCAGCCCCTTAAATATTTTATTTTAACTCATTAATTATTTACAATCTTCTGTTACAAAATCCTGCTTCTTTTTTGGCTAACAATTATCATGGGTCTCAGTTTTTCATTCATAACTATGGAATTCTGTGTCAAAATTATTGTAAAATGAAATTTTTTTTCTTCTACAGATGTCCTAATTTGTGATAAAAGCAAATCCTGTTGTCTTTCAATGATTACATAGGAGCATACAGAAAAAGCCTTATTTTTGTAATTGAGGGAAATAACTAATGAATCAGGAAAAGATAGCTATGTACCTACTAAATAATATTAGCTTAAGAAATATAAACATAAAATTAGTAAAGGAACTGTTAGAATTCATTAACTATCAAATGCAACAACTAATTTTGTAAAATACTATGATTTTCTTTCTATTAAGAAGAAATAGCTTTTATTTATAGTTAGAATCATTTATAAGCTGAGTTAATTGCTATATCACAAACCATTTATACCACTAAGTATGATAATAGTGTTACCTACCCCCAAGTTCTTATAGTGGCTGCCCACATTATCTTTATTTATTCCTCTTCCTCAAACTAACTCAGACTAGAATCTGAAAGAATTCCAGATCCTTATAATAAGAGCCCAAATTCATTTGAAATATTGGATCCTTTTAAATTTCACTCAACTCACCCATAATGTCAAAAAAATCCTTATGTATGAAAACCAAATAATTAAAGATATTGCTGAACAATATTAGTACTATGGATACCTGCTATCATAATTCAAAGTTTAATAAGTAAACTAAACAGGCTAGAGAACTATTTTTACTGGGGTCACAACTCAAAACATTTACAATCCATTAATTATTTAAAAGTATACTGGTATACACGGCTACTGAATTAAAAATGTCTCTAATAAGTATTAAATGTTTAAAATTTTGACTCTCAAAGTATTAGTTTGAAAAAAATTTAAGCATAAGGCAGAACAACCTTTACTTACTAATATTTGCTGAAGATCAGTGTATGCTGCCTCTAACCTGCGCTGGCAGTCTGGGATCATCATCCGGGACTCTTGCAGGATCTCTGCCTGTAATGAGAGTATCTATGAGACATGGAGAGAGGACAGAATTCCATCTGTGTAGCTCGCACCTCGGTAAATACCTAGTAATTAAATGGTTCAACGTTTTAATTTAAACTGTGTTTATTAGAAGTCAGAAAGACTGTGCTACTGTGGAATATAAAGTGCAAGTTTTAGAACTTGTAATGAAGTTTTTTTGGTTTGTTTTTTGGTAAGCACCTTCTCATGATAAGTGAAAATTAACTGGAAAACCTTTCATAGAGCATTTATTTAAAAAGGCAATTTAAAATAAACTATTTCCCCCGCTGTCACAAAGCACCTTTATCCAAAATGGGATCAGCTGGTTATATAAATATCTCCTGCATCTTTTGAGTAATAAAGAAAAACAGTGTTCAGATAATACCACATGGAGATAATTACTGCATGAAAAAAGTTATTGAGTTATTGATCACATCGTGTGCACACTGCAGGAGGTTCTCACTGAAAGACAGAGGTAAAGAAAAATGAAAAGCAAAGACCAGCAGGTTCATATTTTTGATGCTTATCATGCATAAAAAGTTATTACTTATCCTTGTGCTTCATTTGTGAAGAGAGATTATTCTCACCATGCAGTTTGAGCCAAATCACCAGTGTGGCTCCCCCTCTCCACCTGAACTTCCTGCCTGCCCCTCTTGAAGCCAGACATCACAGAAGTAAGCACAGGGATATTTTTATCATCTAGAGGGTATTTCTGGATTTAAAATCTACTACTCAAAGCTGGACTGTAACATATCAGATCATAAATGAAAAAAACCCATCAGTACGTTAGTGTTAGATGGTGCACAGAAAATAAAACTTTTCTTAAGGTAGCAGGAAGCCTTATTTCTTTAAACTAGACTCAAAAAGAGCCACAGATATCATTTTAACATTTATTTCCAAAAAAACAATGTTTGATCAAATATCTTTTGAGAAACAGGTACATCTAAACATTTATTATGATTTATTAGGAGCTCACACAAAATAAAAAGGAAAGATATAATTTAATGATAATAATATTGTAATAGTGTATTTTAATAGAAACCTTACCTTCATCCCTCCCTCAATAGTTTTGTCAGAGCTTACACTATAAACAAAAGTCAGAATTACAGTGTACAGAGATGTTCTCTATCCACGTCTATTCTCTCAGGTGGAAATGTATTGCTGCACTCACAACTCTTTAATAAGGCACAGGCTGAACTTTTCAAACACGGAATTATGATTTCACTTTCAGAGCTTATCATGCTATGCCGAGAGACATTTAATCACTGGCACTAAATTGTTTTTGCATATCTGGTTAGTTCAAACACATGTGAAAAATCAGTAATAGGAATACTGATCAGATTTTGTCTATGGAATTCCTTCAGAATAACATATAAATTTAATAAGATGAAATTAATCCAAAATCAGGTCAAACCCATGATAAGTCAAGTGACTATAAAATATTTTGGAAAGCTTTAGTGTTACTGAAATGAATCTTAAACAAGGTATTCCAAAATAACTTCTATTCATTATTATTCTGTTATTACAAAATAAGCATCTTTAGTTTATCAAAATGAGATTCTGACTTATGCAGGGCCAACGTTCAGTCTCTAAGATCTACCCCAATTCATTCAGTAAGTTTACACTGAGCCCTCTGTATCTACATGTTCTGCATCTGCAGATTCAACAACAGTGGATTGAAAATAATTTTAAAAAAATTGTACCTGGGAGGAAAATACATCTGGGTTCAAGTCCAGCCTGAACTACAGAGTGAAACTCTGGCTCAAAAGACCAAAACAAAACAAAACAAAAGAAAAAATGAACAAATCCAAAACAAAAAACAAAAAAACTGCATCTGTACTGAACATGTGTAGACTTTTCCCCTTGTCATTATTCCCTGAACAACAGAGCACAAAACCTACACTGTATTGGCCATAGAAAGAGTGAGCAGTCCCTGCTCCTGGTATCTGTGGGAGGGTCCTGGAGGCAGCCCACACAGATACTGAGGGAAGACTGCATGTCTGCAAGAGGCCAGTGCAGGGATGTAAAGATGAGAAAGAGGTCTCCAAGCTAGTACAGTGTAAGCATGAAAATAAACATCTGACACTGCTTCAAGAAGACCAAGTCACAGAAAGCCAAAGGAACACAATGACAATGGTATGACCTGGATACCATAAACCATACCTCCATCAAAGCCACAAATCATATGCTTCTCTTCATAGCAATGAATTAAAATGGACAAGAATAACTTAAAAAGACAGCATGAGGTGTGGGATGAAGACCTACCCTGAAATACCTGACTTTAACCAAATGCACATTATCTTTCGAAGTGCCTCCCTTGGGAGGTAGGCACTCGAATGTGTCTCTCATTAAAATATCTGGGTAAACTGCCAGTTTATTCTAATGTTGGTCATGCCAAGTCTTATTCAGGTGAAATGGAAGTTGGGATGGGGGGGGGGGCTAAACGTGCCTCAGGTTATAACAATGATTAAACTGCTGAACCTAAAATCTGATCCATTTCCTTAATAGCCAAACATATACAAATTGGAGAGAAAATGCCTAATTAATAAATCTTCATTTTTCAGAATGAAGAGTTCTGTGGAATAATCTGCCTACTGCTAAGCTCTTTGGCTACTGCAGGATTGGGACAAGACTGGAGCCTCTTTAATTCAGTTGTCTGTAACAGCAGGTATGAGCTCCTCTAAAACCAATGGCAACTGCATTAGTTTGGCAGAATGAACTGGAGAGTCATCCACAGATAATCATAACAATGGTTAAATCATTTCTTTTACAAGGTGGTAAAATGTTAATATGCTCACATGCCAAAAAACTCATTTGATTTGTGTTTCGTGGTTACTGCTGAAGTTAAGATTGTAAGAATCCCATTTGGGCCCTTAAGTTCTAATGTATCAGTAGTTACTTTCAATGTAAATAGTGTAAATATACCTGACTGGACCCAACTGATGTCGACAAGAAACTCACTTTATTTTTTTTTTACTTTTTATGTTTTATTTGGTACCAGAAATCAAACTCAGGACCTTGTGCTTGCCAGGCAGGTGCTGTGCCACTGAGCTATGACCCTGACCCAAAGAAACTCACTTTAAACAATGAAACATAAAAAAATGAAGGGTGGAAGAAGACATATCACGCAAATATTAACTTTAAAAAAAGCATGTACTGGGGCACATAACTATAATCCCAAGAGGCTGAGGCAGGGAAGAGCCCAAGTTCTAGTCAAGCCTGGGCAATTTAGCAAGATACTATCTCAAAAATAAAAATGAAATTACAACTGGGGCTGTAGCTAAGTGGTAGGATGCTTGCCTAGCGTTATGTGAGGCCCTGGGTTCAATTCCCAGTACTGGAGAAAAAAAAGGCAGAAGTGGCTATATTAATATTGGATAAAGTAGAATTCAGAGCAAAAAACAAAAAATAGGGACAAAGAAGTATATGATACTAGCATAAAATAAAAAAAAAATCCATCAAGAAAACATAGGGATTCTAAATGTGCATGCACTAAACAACAGAGCTTCAAAATACATAGAACAGATCACCAGATAAAAAAGCATGTAAAATTGGTCAAAAAAATTTAAGCATTAACTGTTCCTTTCAACAAACCAATACAAATTAGTAGTACAATTACCTTAATATTTTTTTTTTTTTTCCCCTTTCTTCTTTCATTGTTTTCTCCTTTCCCTCATCCCAGTTGTTCTTTTGTTTTGAGCAAATTTCTTTCCCTTTCACAATATCTATAGTACCTTTTGGATTTTATTTACTCTTTCAGGTTCTTACACTATGGAGACAATATGATGTTTACACATGTGGGTCTGATTTATCTCACTTATGAGTATCATCCCTAGATGCATCCATTTACCTATAAAAGCCTTGAGTTTATCTCTCTTTATAGTTGAGTAATACTCTATTTTATAAAAATACAACTTTTTTATCCATTCCTCAGTTGATGGGTTGTTTCCAAGATTTAGCTATGACGAATTGCGCTGTTACAAAATGGGTGCACATATATTGCTGTGATACCATGTTTTCAGTTCTTCTGGAAAAATACCCAGAAGGAGAATGGCTGGGTTGAATGAGACCTCTAATTCTAGCTTTCTGAGGAATCTCTACACTGATTTCCACAGTGGTTGTGCCAGTCTATACTCTAACAGTGGAGATGCATTCCTTGTCCACTATAGCCCTGCCAGCATTTGTTATTAGTTGAATTCCTTATGATAGCCATTCTTTCTGGGGTGAGATGGAATCTCACTGTGTTTTAATTTGTATTTCCTGAATGACCAGTGATGTTGAACATTTTTTCATATGTTTGTTTGCTGTTTGTATTTCTTCATCTGAGAAGTGTGCATCCATCTCAGATGCCCATGTTACATGCTTGTATCTGGTGATCCGAACTACTCTGAAGACAACAATATGCAATATAACAACCATTATTGAATTCCCATCTTGTTTCTTGAAATTGTGTATCATTTCTAATGTTTGTTTAAAATTACTTTTTATTCTCTTGAAAATAAAAAAAAAATTTAAAACAATACATAAAACACAAAATGGCAGAAATGAAGGGAGAAGCAGACAAATCCATATATCCAGTTGGGACTTCAGTACCTCCCTACCTTTCAATAAATGACAGAAATACTAAAGAACCAGCACAGAGATGAAAGAATTAGACAATACTACCAGCCAACAAGTTGTAATTGACATTTACACAGCATTCTGCTTTAGGGGAGCACAATAGTCCACCTAAGAAAGAAGGATACAAGTACTATAGGGCACCTGAGAAACAATTATTGCAGCAGATCACATTCTGGGTCAAATAACAGCAACAAATATGAAACAAAAGTAGAAGAACAGAAACCATATATAGTGTATTTTCTAACTCTGATGGAGCACAATTAGAAATTACAACAAAAACAACAAAAATCTTCACTTAGTAATTAAGCAACATACTTCTAAATAACTCATAGAAAAAAAACTCATTCATAGGTAAATGGATACACTTGAGACCATAATGTTAAGTGAAATAAAGCAGACAACAAGCTTAAATATTGCACCGTTTGTCTTATATGAGACCCAAAATATAAATAAAGGGAAAACAACACACAGTTAATAGGCAGTAGGGAGATCTTTTTCTAACAGGAAGGAAAACAAGAGATTGAGGAAGGTGAAACGCAGAGAAGGGAAGAGGATGAAAAAAATAATTGAGAGAAAAAGGTGGAGACAGAGCTTTTGCAAATAGGAAGGGCACCAAGAGATGGAAGGAGCAGGTAGGGACAAGAGGAGTAGGGGACAAAAAGAATTATGATGTGTTCCATACGTGTACCAATTCCATATGATAAATGTCATCAATATGCACTGCAAAGGTCCTAACAAAAATTAAAATTAAAAAATAACTCACAGACCAACAAGAAAGTTTTAACAGAAACACTGAAATATATAAAGGAAAATGAAAAAATTACTTTTTGTAAGATACAGCTAGTCCAGTGCCAAGAGAGAATTTTATAGCACTAAATGCTTTCATTAGGAAAGAGGAAAGATTTCAAATTAATAGTCCATATTCTTACTATAAAGGCATAGAAAAAGAGCAAAACAAACTCAAAACAAGCAGAGGGAATGAAATGAGCACCAATCAATAAAATTAGAAACAAGAAAATAACGGAACAAAAATCTATGTGCTGAAGATGACAAAATGCTAAGCAAGGAAGCAAGACCTAAACAAACTGAAGGGACCTGCTCTGCTCACGCATCACAAATCTGAAAGAAAAGACATAAACTCTTCCTAAACTGATCTACAGTTTTGATGCAAGTTCCATCAAAAGGTGGGGCATTTATCCTAGAGAAATAAAAACATCTATCTTCATATCAAAACTATACACAAATATGCAGAGCTGCTTTTTTCATAACAGCCAAAACCTAGCATAATCTAAATGTCCCTCAATGGCCAAACTGTACTACATTCACATCATGGACTACTAATCAGCAATAAAAAAGAGTAAACTATTCACGAACTTCAATGGACTGCAATGGCTGTTCTACATGGAAGAGATAACTTTACAAAGTTACATACTGTATGCTTCTATAACACATCATATGACACCCTTTAAATGGTGTAACTACAAGCACCCTAGGCTTAGGTGGTGGAGGAGGTGTAGGTAGCTACAAAGATGCAGTATGAGGGAGTTTTGTGGTATTTCTTCTTTACTGTGGTGATAGTTATACATACTACGTGAGACAGAGCTACACAGAATTATTACATACACAGAGCAAACACCACCTCACACGAATGCACCATGGACCTAGTGAAATATGAGACAGGCTGTGGTGTATCAATGTCAATTTCATGGTTCAGACACTATATAATTATGCAAGATGTTGACATTAGGAAAGGAAGAATGAAGGGCGTCTGAGACTTCCCCCGATATTTTTTCAAATTCCTATTCATCTATAACAAAAAAGGGTATCAACAGAATACTATTTATAACCCTGAGTATATATGAGGATACAGGTTCTATAATAACCTATGATGTTATCTGTAAGATTTTACTTGGAAATGGGACACATTTATTTTCCTGCTCCAAGTAATTTAAACTTCCATTCTAACTATAGTGCTATTTTAACTATACTGCTTATTTTATTTTAGTGGTGACTAAAAGAACAAGGCAAAGGAAAGAACTAAGTGAGGTCACTAACTACCTGAAAATAAAATAAAAGGTCCGAGAAGGACCCAGATGAAATAAAGCTGTGTACTCTGTCATATCTTCCCACTAGATGTAACAAAATAACAAAAGGTACTAAGGTAAAAAAGATACAAAAGTAACATTCATCATTTAAAAATTAAAGATATAACACCTATATGAAGAGGAAGGAGTTAGTTCATAAAAATCAGTGCACTGGGGTCAAAGCTGTATAGCATATTTGTTTACTAATGCTCCTGCAAACAATGGGGATACAATGTTCTTTACATACGACTGCCCACACATAAAGGAAGGCAGGCTCTCCTACCAGCTTAAGAAAATAAGAAGGTTCTCCTCCTGGACAGCCAAATAAAGAGGAAGTTTCAGGGATTGAAACATGTTCTGTTTGCACTGCAGAAAGCAATTATGTACAGAAAAATCCTTTTAAGTGATTAATTTTGTCGAATAAACTTTGGAGTCACTGGCGTTAATTAGAGTGTACATAAGCAGCTATTTTTGAGTTTTTTTCTTATTTTTTATTTTTTAATACCATACTGTCTTAGTTACTTCTCTCTCATTGCTGAGACAAAATACCCAATGCCCAAAATGAAGGAAGGAAAGGTTTATTTAGCTCACAGTTTGTGGAGGTTTCAGTCCATACTTGGCTGGCTCCAAGGCAGAAGATAGCAAAGCAACAAGAGCAAAGGGGAGAACAGCAGCCGAACAGCAAACAGCCAGACAAACGGGAGGAATGGCTGCAAGCAGTTTCTTTCCCTCCCTGCCTTACATTGTAAACAGGCTATCCCCACCTAAGGGGCATGTAGCTCTCACATAATCTCCATGCCCTCCTCCTGCACAGGCTCAGGATGTATACAAAGTAAGCACCCTGGCTTCCTGCTGAGTCACTTAGCCAAACCTCTAGACTCCCCAAGCTGACACAATGTATCAACCATAACACATGCCTAAAAGAGTAACTACATCAGTGTTTAACATGTAGCAGATGCTCAATAAATTCTGCTGAGTAAATGGACATATGGGTAGTTTTACAGGCTTACTTAATAAGTTATGAGATTGCCTAGAGAGTGATTATAGATGAGGCAGCTGAAAAATTATATATACACGTGGAAAGGAGAAAGTGGTTACTTGTCTCAAGTGCTGCTAAGGTACACAGTGCTGATGAGTACAAAGGAGTGATGACAAACATCAGTGATGAACATACAACATCAGAAGCACGCTATGGCACATAATCCACATTCGTAGGAAGGGAAGGAGTATGGGTATAGATGCAGGCAGGCTGCTATGATTTCATAGTGAGAATGCAAGGAAGTTCCCCAACAGCCTCTAGTTTTTTAAGGAATCATGAAGCAAATGTCAGCTGGGAGTTAAAATTCAATAAATGCTACAATGGCATATAGAAGGTACTATGGCGATTGCCACACCTTATCAATATAGAGGTGAGTATAAAAGGTTCACAGGGTGAACAGGAATTAATCGGGAGAGGGTGGGTAAAAGAAGTAAAAAGAGCATCAAAGATGTGCAAAATCTCAGCACCAAAGAACAAAAGGCATGTTCAGGATGCTTAAAAGCAGAAATGTAAGGGATCCAGGTAGGGACTGATAAGACAAAAGTTAGAGCGGTCAGCAGATGCTGGAATCAAGAAAAGCTAAGGAGACCAAAATTTGTCATGAGACGCTTATAAGCAGCCACAGAGAAGGGAAACATATTTTATTTTGGTGATAGTCACACATCAGTTTAAGGAAAGTATTTCTGATTTTAAATATTAAGTATATTCAGTGTAAGAGTACCCTCTTAGGAGGGTAGTTCTTAGGACTGGAGAGGCAGTAGAGCTTACAGGTTCAGAATGCAGATTCAATCTAGAGTCAGAATTCTTGTGCTCAAACTCCAGCTATGTCACTTAGCTGGGGCTGTGGGCAGTTATTTCACCTTTGATTCAGTGTTCTTATCTTTAAACGGATGTTTTATTGGTGAAGAAATAAATAATAATACCACCTCAGAGGCTACTGTAAAGATATTTGATGACATGATGTTCTATAAATACTAGCTTTTACTGTTTAAGACGGAACTTTACCTGCTTTTTTAATACTTTTTTTTTTTTTTTTTTTGTACCAGGAATCAAACTCCTGACTTGCCAGGCAGGTGCTGTTCTGCTGAGCTATATCCCCAGCCCTATTACCTGCTTTTTAATGGCATAATTTTCACCATCTTCAGCTTTCATTTTTTCAATCTTTTCTTCTTGTTGTTTTGCTTCTTTTTCATACATCACTTTTTCTTTGACCAATCTATAAGTAAACCAAAAATGTTTCAGAGAATTAGCTTTTTCTCTAGAGAATAAACCAGAATAAATAAACTATGTAAATATAAAACATTTAAAATACTAAAGTTAATAGACTAGGTGTAGGACACGGAAACAAAATACATTAGTCATAGATACACGTGTGTATCTCTACCTAAGGCCAATATAATCTATCAAAGCATGAAGTTTTTATTTTTAAAATTAAAATCCCATTCCACTATATTTACAAAGTGAAAACAACACTGAAAATTATTATGTTCTAACATTTCTGTCTTGCCTTCATCTTGTTATGTGTGTGTGGTGCTGGGGATTGAACCTACAGCCTCACACATGCTAGACCAAGAGTCTTTCCACTGAGCTGCATTTCTATCTCCTTTCCCCACCTTGTTCTTTGGAAACAGAGTCTCATGTTCCCCAGGCTGGACTTGAATTTGTGATTCACATGCCTCAGTCTCCCAAGTAGGCAGAATTACAAGCATGCACCATCATTCTTGACCAGCACTGCTTGTTTTATTGATGTTTCTTTCCCAAAACCTTATCTAGATACTTGAAACAACATACTGTAATATATGTTTAGTTAAGTGAAGGGAAAAAAACCCTCAGTATACTGCATGCCAAAGCCCAAAGATTAGATTATTTTCAGCAAATAAACCAACATGATTTACTAAAGCAAAAAAAGGTACTGATACCCATCAGGAAGATTTTTGATAATAAAGAATAGTGCCATGAAAGTGCTATTGACTATTCGTTAGATAAACAAAATTCAATTAAACATAACAGAACAATTTTCCATAACTCTGGCTAATCAAAGTTTTAATATAAAAGAAGAGTGTAACCCAAGAAAGTATTAACATTCCTATATACACATTACCTAAAGAGCAGAAGAAAAAGCTTTCTGAGTCCAGACACATTAAAAATATCTTTCTCCACAGTGGTTGTTCACTAACTGTAGACTCATGTTTGCTGGAATGCAAATTAAAATCCTATTTAGGGCATGGTGGCTTTTGTGTAATTATTTACAGTGGAGATTTTTTAGAGCACAATTTACTTTTTATATTCTGAGTGACCCCACCCGCCCCTAAACTCTTGATATAGTGCTGGAAGGATTTTAAATCTGGATTTAAAGCACCACACACTAAATATTAAAATACTAAAATGTTCCAGTTTGGAATGTTGTGGATGGAAGAAAATGTAAGAAAATATTAACAATATAACCAACAGACATAATCTGTACGTGCATGGTCCTCACATACTTACACCCTAAAATTATCTCCAAGTGAAAAAACTGAAGTTCAAACTAGGTTGTAAATGTTATATTGCCATGATAATTATAAACAAGAAAGAAAGAAGCATATTTTAAAAACAAATTAAAAAGGAACATAATAAAACTAATCTTTCATTACTTGACAAGAAAGTTTTGATAGAGAAAAAGCTTGGAAGTAAATAGAGGCTTCTATTGTCCTTCAAAATGTATAAACATTACAACATTTAACAAAAAAGAGATGCTAAGAGTACACTGTTGTCTCTGAGTAGACTTTAGCTGCATTTACTGATTTTCTGGAATGAAGATTCAATTAAAAAGAGAATCTACCAATAAACATTCTCCTTTTGCAAACACTATTAGTTAAAATAACAAAGTAATGTTATTATATCATAAAGGCATAATTAGTTGAAAATATTTTCCATCCACCTTAAAAATCCACATCTACAGAGAAACAACATAGCAACTTTAAAATCTTTATAAAATAATTAAAATGTTAAAACTTTAAAATCATTATTTGAGGAAAGTAAGGAGAAGCCATAGAAAGGTTAGCTTTAAGGAGAAATATAAGAAATGACAACACCAAGGTGATAATCAAATGACAATATGCTACTTAACTGTGCATATAGGACAACATTTTATGTATGTAGCCTAGTGTTTTCCAAATTACTCCATGGTATATTAGTTAAATAAGTTCCTTATAAAGCACTACTTGCCAAATGTTAAAGATTTGTGATTTATGTTTGCATATTAAAAGGTCTTGGGGAGTCCTGCAGTAACTTTGTTCAATTGAAGGATTAACTAGAATAAAAGACTATTCCTCCCTTGAGAATAGTTGCTTCTAGTTTAAAAAGTGCTCTTAGATATCCACGAACTTTTCAGAAATGTGTATATAGCACACTTAGACATACAAAATGCTGAATAGAATAATTTTGGATAAATCAATAATTAGACACCAGGACTAAAAATTTTAATAGCATGGTTTTTCTCATTTCAATAGCATGGTTTTTCTCACTGTAAATATAATTTTCATTGTTAAAACCAGCTTTGTACTTCAGGCCATCTAATCATACTCCCATCAAGCCAGGCTAAGTGCCCAGATGAAAGGCCACTGGGATCGACAGTAGTAAGGACGACTTGGGGACGTAGCTCAGCGGTAGAGCAGATGCTTAGCATGTGTGAGACCTTGATTTCAACCCCCAGGAAACTCCTTCACCCCCTCCCAAAGGTGGTAAGAAAGCATAATGGAATGGTATGTATAAACATATTGTATCATGGATATTTTCAAGCAAAAATTACAGACAAAAGTAGCGTCATGAATACTATGTGCCCATCACTCAACTTTGTATTAGTATTTTGGCAATCTTATTTCATCTATTTCCTACTATTCTATAAAAAAAAAAATCTCTCTTCCTCTCCTCTTCTGAATTCAGACTGACTCCCAACCCTCCCCCACGGTCATTTCTGGCAAATGCTCTACCACTGAACTACCATCTACAGCACAGCTGGTTTGGTTTTTGAGGTTAAAAAGTCTGTATTCACCCTGGCCCTTATACATGTATAAAATATTAACTCAAAATGCATTAAAATCTAAAATTAAAAGCTTAAATTATAAAAACTACTGGATGAAAACCCAGAGGGAAATCTTGCTAGCCCTGGATTGGCCAATAAACTTTTTTTTTTTTGTCTTTTTTGAGATAGGGTTTCACTATGCAGTTCAGGCTGGCCTTGAACTCACTCTGCAGCCCAGGATGGCCTCAAACTCACAGCGATCATCCTTCCTCAGCCTGCTGAGTGCTGGGATTACAGGCGTGCACCACCACGCCTGGCAATAAACTTTTAGATATGATACCAAAAGCACAAACAAAAAGAAAAACAATATAAACTGGTTTTCATCAAAATTAAAAACTTTTCTATCAAAGGGAGATCACAGAATGGGGCAAAATACTTGCAAATAATGTATCTAATAATGAAGTATAACCCTAATATACAGATAAGTCAATGATAAAAAAAATTTAAAAATGGGTAAAGGATCCAGACATTTTTCTAAAGCAGTTCTATACATATGAAATAAGGACATAAAACATGCTTAATATCATTAGTCACGAGTGAGATGCAAATCAAAATCACAACTAAGGTTCTACTTCACAACCATCAGAATGTCCACAATCAAAAAGTCAGATAGTAAATAACAAGTGTTGGCGAGATTGCAGAAAATTGGAACCACCTAGTGACGCTGATGGCAATGAAAACTGGTACAACTGTTTTATTCCTCAAAGAATAGAGAGTTACATATGTCCCAGAAAATAGTTACTGAACACTCAAACAATTCCACTCCTGAGTATATACTCTAGAGAAATGAAAACATAGATTGACAAAAAAAATTTCTAAAAAGGCTCATGACAGCATTAAGCATAACAGGCAAAATATGGAGATAACTCAAAAGTCTGTTTACTGATGAATGAATAACCAAAACATGATAACCCTTTCAATGGGATATTGCCTGGCTATAAAACAGAGAAAAGTACTGATTCAAACTACAATGTGGGTGAATCTTAAAACAGTCTTAAATATGGTTGCTCAACTCTGTAAATACTGCATGCTAAAAAGCAATGAACTGTAGACCTGAAATAGGTGAATTATGGGAATGCAAATTATATCTCAATAAATCTGTTATCAAAAAGGAAAAAGAAAAGTTTGTGACCATCAAGTCAGCTGCAGGGGAAGGCCTGAATACTGATACCTCATGTACAACTGAAGAAGGGAATATCACAGAGAGAGAGACTTGTACTTTATTTGTAATTAAAATTTTCACAAGAATTTTAAAAATTAAGATGAAAATATTTTCGGAGATTCAAAATAAAACCACTAATTCAGGTCAC